CTCACTTCGACAAGGTTGGGAAGTGGGTGTCACTTACGCCGGTTAACGGCAACAACGTCTTCACATTCGGCCCCCACCTCCCAACCTCAATGTCGCAGACAGACACAAACTCGACCAAACAGACACAGACTCACCCAGACTCACACAGACTCATCCAGACTCACACACAGTCACCCAGAATCACCCAGACTGACACAGACTCATCCAGACTCACACAGACTCACACAGACTCATCCAGGCTCACACACACTCACACAGACTCACACAGTCTGACCCAGATTCGCACACACTCACACAGAGTGACGCAGACTGAAACACATTGAAGCACTATCAAACAGAGTCGAACAAACTGACGCCCAATTCATCAGAGAATAAAAAAGAGTGACACGGACTGAATGAAGTTCAAACGGACTCACCCAGACCGACACAGATTCAAAGACACTCACACAGACACACCTACACTCACACAGACGCACCTACACACACACAATGTCAACAGGATTCTGCCAAAAAAAAAACAACAAAAAAAAAAAACTCACTTCGACAAGGTTGGGAAGTGGGTGCCACTTACGCCGGTTAACGGCAACAACGTCTTCACATTCGGCCCCCACCTCCCAACCTCAACGTCGCAGACAGATACAGACTCGACTAGACAGACACAGACTCACCCAGACTCACACAGACTCTTCCAGACTCACACAGACTCACACAAACTCACACAGTCTGACCCAGATTCGCACACACTCACACAGAGTGACGAAGACTCAAACACATTGAAGCACTATCAAACAGAGTCGAACAGACTGATGCCCAATTCATCAGAGAATAAAAAAGAGTGACACGGACTGAATGAAGCTCAAACGGACTCACCCAGACCGACACAGATTCAAAGACACTCACACAGAGTCACACATACTTGCTCACACCCACACACAGTCAAACACACTCATTACAGAGTGAGCAGGGCCAAGGCATGACACTTTAGATGACGTATCCCTAAAGCATGGTCAACCTTTCAACACGGTTGGGTACTGGGCGCCGTTTACCGAACAATGGCGAGAGCGTCCTTGTTGAAATGGACTGCACTTGGCAACCACACAATTGGGTAGTGGGGGCCATTTAGCAAACGACTCAGTAGTACCATATTTCTCTTGCGTCTACGCGTCTGTGCATATGTGATCATGACTTATGATGCATCAGGATATTTTTCAGTCACTGTATGCGGAAGTGTTAACTTGCATGAAAACTCACCAATTCTTCTGTCGAGAAACAAGTGTGACCATCCATACGTCACGGTTGTCCACACGACCATTGAGACACGCACAACGGGACAAACATAAGAAAGGAAAACAAAATGTCATTACCACACAACATCCTCACACACCGACCCACCCTCTTAATGTGAATTGTAGCAATAAAAGTGAAAACAACAGAGACACACAAAAGAAGCAGCAGACAAGGGTCTGCAAATTTCCGTCTTAGTTCGTGGTCAACCAAAGACATGATTAGAGAAAATGAATGTACAAATGTCATTGTTAATGACGACATTACAAAAATCGAGGACCTATGACCCGAACACATGATCGCACGCACACACTCACACACACTCACACACACACACACACACACACACACACACACACACACACACACACAGACCCGTTCTCCTCCAACCAGACTCATTTTTTTTCTTCTTCTGAGGCGCCCTGCTTTTCACCGGCTTTCCTTTTCTCTTTGATGCCCCCCTTGCCTCCCTTCTCCCCTGCTGTTCAGCAGACCCGGGCGCTGCTTGTTGTGTGTTCGTCTCATCAGCGTTCGCCCTCCTCTCATGTCGTTGTCTGTTCAACTCTTTCTCGTCGAGGATGCCTTTGGTGAAAACTTGCCAACGCGGATTTTGTAATGCGCCAACGAGCCTCATGTCCCGGGGCAAGATCGTGACCCGCTTCAAATGGATTGCAACCTCGTTCGTGCTCTCCATAAGATGCACGACATAGGCTTCAACTGCCTCCATAAGTGCTCGAATGGCAAGCATCCCAAACCGCACAGGCTCTGTTGCGACCTTTTTTTTCTTCACAATGTCGCGCACAAGCCTCACAAACGGTCTGTAAAGGATGCAAAGTTCTATGTTGCGTTGCAGTCGGCGCATCTCTGCCACAGCAGCCTCTCCGAGCCGACGATTGCACCTCGGGGGCCCTTGACTCCCTCCAATTTTTCGGCCTGTGTCACCAACCATTGCTGCCCCCCCCTKGCCCCCCCCCCYTCCCCTTCCCCYCCCCCCACCCAGTGGTGCCCCGCCCCCCCGTCCCTTACCTCGACCGCCTCTCCCTCGTACCGTCGTTGTCCCCTCGTTGTCGCGTTTGGTTGTTGCCTTCTGCTTCGTTCCTTGGCCCGTCCGCCTGCTGCCATCGGTGCACACTGTGCCGGTCACCGGCGCGCTCCTCCCCACAACAGCCTTATACACATCTAGATGTGTATAAGAGACAGATCCAGTAGTGCCTCGGCCCCCCGTCCCTTACCTCGACCGCCTCTCCCTCGTACCGTCGTTGTCCCCTCGTTGTCGCGTTTGGTTGTTGCCTTCTGCTTCGTTCCTTGGCCCGTCCGCCTGCTGCTACCGGTGCACACTGTGCCGGTCACCGGCGCGCTCCTCCCCACAACAGCACGTCCTGCACCCGAGTCTGCAACCGGACCGTCAACGTCGCATCCCCCGGGGCCGTCGTGTGGGGGTCCATTCACCTTGCCTGCCGGTTGTCTCGTCTCTTCGGACTCAGGTTCTCCAATCCCCACAGTCTCATTGTTCCCTTTCATGTCCTCCCCTGCCATGTACTCTATGTGCCGCAGCAAACCATCAGAGTACATCAGCAGAAACGGAACACCTAGAGGGTCTCTGAACTCCATGGATAGGTCTGACCCGCAGGAATAATGCATGGGACAGACAACGGGTACCCATCCAGGAAGTGCTGACCGCCCGTGTCTGCGGCGAATGAGGCTGAGACAGTTATCAGGATAATCTGCAAAGACGTATGCGCCCGCGCCAGCAGCCTCCAGTCCCCACATGTTCTCGTCCTCACGACCGTCATATCCACACAGCACCATCTGACGGTCCTCAACCTTCAGATTATCCCAACACATCTTAGCATGTTCGCGCAATAACGCTTTGTCATTCACCCTTGCATTGCATATCGAAACACGAGCCAGAACAACCATGAATTGCCAATGCTCAACAACACCTGAAGGGATCCAACCCATAGGTACCCACTCGCCTCCTCGAAGTCTGGCAGCCATCGTAACTTTGTTTTCAAATATGGCAGGATGAAGGACACCAGGTACCCAATTCACATGATACCCGTACATCTCCGCAGATGAATGTGTGCTCAACTCCGTTTGTGGAGAAACAGTGGCAGATATGTCAATATCTGGCAGCATCTCCGTCCTTGTCCTCTCGGGGTCCCATATACTAACGAAAAGACCATCATAAGTGGCCTCTCTTCCTCTGATGTGCCGCAGACAAATGTTGTCTTCCCCAGAAAAAAAACTTTCCCCTCTACAATTGGCGAAGACACGGGGTTCTGCAGTGGGATCCGACGTCTCCTTGTCGCAACATCAACGGACTCCGCCATCTCATACTCCAAACAACGAGACAAGAACTCCCCATTTACATAAACTGTGCTCCAACAGTTCCCCATGAGATCGCACACAAGCATCCTCATCTCCCCATATTCACAAGGAATGCTTGATGGCACCCAACCACACCGCGCATCCCGCCTTGCATCATTCTCCTTACACACTCCCTCCCCAACCCGATTGCTGTCAAAAATCACCCATTGTTGGGAGCACTCCTCGTGATCGTAAAAGAAGTCATTGAGTTGTAACCCCCCCCTTTCTGCCAACGTCTCCCAAAGGACATGCGTGCTTTTGATCAGATCTTGAAGCGCAACGCCGTCATTCAGCCTTGTCAGTCGGTCGAAAATAATGGCAGCCATTATGTACCGCCATGTTGCCAAATTTGGCGGAGAATAAGGAACCCATGTATCACCGGTCTTGAAGGCAAAGCAGTGCTGAGCCCCGATCAAGCCTGGCTGCACCTTGCCGGGCTCCCAGTTGATATCGTACAGGAAATGCGTTCCTGCTTCAGTCTTGGTGATTGTGTCACTCGGAACAGTGCACATCGGAGTTTCTCTATCGCCTGTCCCTTCGCCGTTATCTGCGTCCTTGGTGCCAGCCACGCTAATAATAACCAAGAGGCCCTCTCATTCCATTTGCAACGTCGATTCCAGGTTCGTATTGTTACTTGCCACCCCTCTCCCAGGACTGCGAACGCAGTGCTTGTGAGAGTCGTCTCTTACTATGACATTCGAGATATGTTCATGCAGGTCTTCGCTCATGCATGCAATAGTCTCGCCCACCATG